TTTCCCCCTCCTCCCCCTCTTCCTTCCCCTCCTCCTTCTCTTCCTTCTTTGCTTCTCTGTGTGGGAGGGAACTCTGCGCCAAGGTGAAAGAGCTCCTAGGATGGCTCCCAGAGCTACAAGCAAGAAATTTTTAAGCTCATGTTTCCAGAAATTTCATCACCGTGAATTTCCAAGCCACAGTTTCCCTCTGAAACAGCTCTGCTTGTGGGAGGTTGTCCTTAAACCTTCAGGATATCTTAGAGAGGTGAGTGAGGTACCAGGTGGAATGTGACCCCTGAGGCCCTGCAGCTCCAGGCCCAAGGCTGTTGTGGCCTCCCTGACCCCCAAATCCTAAGCGGCCTCATTCACTCTTAAAAGAGTTGAGTGAGAGTCACCCCAGCTGGCCAGCAGCCAGACTTTGGCCAGCACCTTGCTGCTTCCTTCATCCTCAGGGACCCACTCTGCCCAGCACTGGATAGGCCACCCTCATTCTGGTCAGATAAACTCCCTCTCACCCTGGGAAGGTGGGCCTCTGGAGTGCTGGGGTGGGACAGCCCTGTGTTCTTAAACCTGCCAAGAGGTGAAGGAGGCAGCAGCAGGGCACTGGATTAATCTGGGGGAGCTCTGCCCAAAAGGAAGTAAAGGAACCACTGAGCACCCTGTGCAGCTGGCAGAGAACCTGGAGCTGGTTTCCTCCTATACAGGGTAAGCCTCCCTCTGTAGCTCCTGCCTGCGTGCCCCAGTAACCCCATTTGTGTGTCTGGGACTGAGGGAGTAATCTTATCTTGGAGTCCGTGAGTGTACATGCTGGAAATAAATATTCATGGGGGATATGCCCTTCACTGCTCCTCTTGACCTCCCAACACACACACAAAGGAGGAAACTTGCCCGGCCAGTGTTGCTTCGTGGTTGGGTGTTGACCCATGAACCAAGAGGTCATTGGTTCAATTCCTGGTCAGGGCACATGCCTAGGTTGTAGGCTCAATCCCCAGTACGGGGCATGCAGGAGGCAGCCCCTCAATGTGTCTATCTCTCTATCCCTCTCCCTTCCTCTCTCTCTAAAATCAATTTTTTAAAAATTTTTTAAAAGGAGGAAACTTGGGAACTGGAGAAGGGTAGGTGTTCAGGGTCCATATAATGTTAGCTCGGGAGAAGTGATTGTACCAGTGGAATCTCCAGGATTTAGAGTAGGCTGTGACCAGCATTGGTGTGGCCATTTAAGGCTATGTAACCTGTAGGACATGGCTAAGAAGCAAAGTAAGTGATTCAGATTTCAAGTCAGTCACACTGAGCCCTGCCTCCTGCTCCCTATTCATTCTGGATCCTTGCTTTCCTCAGCCCCTGCCCTCAGCCCGCTGCTCCACCCTTACCTCATCCCTCATCCCATAACCACCGGCAGTTCTGGTTTAAAAAATGACCCAAGTTGAAGAACTTGTGAGCTTACAATAAAGTTCTAAATAAAGTTCTAAACTAAATAGATTCACTAGTTGAAATACCTGATATAGATAGCACAGGATAGTTTGGAAGGAACAAATATCAGTGCAGAGAAGGCTTCCTGGAGGTGGCCTTGAGCCTGTCCATCTGCACCAGGAACGCGGAAGGCTATTCCTGGCCTTGGATTAAATATGGCTGAAGTTGGCTCCTCTCCTCTCCATCCTTCCTGTTCATTGTCTTTTCTTCTCAACACCACCACCCCTTTCAGTTCCCTTTCTCCTCTTTATTTTTATTTTATTTTTTTAATTTATTGATTTTGGAGAGAGCAAGAAGGGAGAGAGAGAGAGAGATTTGTTGTTCCACTTATTTATGCATTACCTGATGGGGGCGGATCGAACCCACAGCCTTGGTGTATTGGGATGACTCTAACCAGCTGAGCTACCCTGCCAGGGCCTCTTTCCTCCTCTTTAGTTGGCCTGGGTTAAGTCTTTGTCTCCTGGTCTTCATTTTCCCATGTACAAAGAGGGGAGGGAGGGTGGTTTCAAGGGTCCCAGCAGTTCTAGGTCATATCCACTGTCCCAGAGAGCTGGCCACATGCCAGAAGGACAGCCTGTGGCCCCACCCCTCACTGAGGGGTCTTGGTCTTGCTGCTGTCCTTCCAGCTGTGTCTTTGAATGTTCAAGTCAAAACCCCAGAAAGGTGGCTGCCTTCAGGTAGAACAGCTGGGTGAATCCACCAGAGCTGAAAGCAGCAGCTCTGCTCTTCTCTAAAGGGCCCCTCCCCATTGTTAGTCCCCCACTGCTACTGGCCCTGCTGGCAGAGTTGTGATTGCTGACACCCCTCCCCCCACCCAGGAGGGAAGTGATTTTTGTCTCCCTTAAAGCCATTTTCTTGTCTTGCTAGAAGCAGACATCTGACACTTTAAGAGGGAGAATGGCAGGGAGATGATGGCATTAAATAACAGAAATTAGAGCTGCCTAGGATGGTTCAGCCATCTCTCAGCCCCCTTCCCCAAAGCAGTCCCACCCCTCCCTCATACACATTCAGAACTGTAGCCTGCAAAGCACTGTCCACGAGGCCTCTGGCTCCAGGTGGCCAGGGAATGCTAGGGCCTGGAGAGTAGAGGACCGCTTCTCTCTGAGCTCTAAGCCTTTTACATACCTAGTCCTGTGACAAATTCTTGGACAGGCCCTGAAGTCAGTGAGCTTGTGGTCTGAGGAAACACAATAGCATATAGGAACAGGATGAGACCTGGGCAAGAGAAGCTGGTCCCTGGGTCCCTGGCCAGTCCTTCTAGTTCTCCTGGCACATGCTGCCAGGCCACTCTGTCTAAACTACTCAGATCTTGTCTTTCTCCTGTACAAACCCCTCCAGTGGTCCCCCACTGCTTCCTGAACTGAATATCCACCTCACTCTTTTGCCACTGTACCCTGATTCCTTCCACTGTCTCCCACTCACCCTCCTTCTCCCAGCCTGACTCAGCTCACCACCCCAGGCTCCACTTCAGCCCCAGATCAATGCACTGCTGGGAGACAGGTACTACTGCAGGAGAGCCAGCCACCATTGGCTATAAACTTTTGGTTTCAACCTCAGCTCTTTCTCCTGCAGCCAGCCAAAACCCTTCTTTCTCCTCAGTCAGCTTATTCTGGTCCCTCTTCTTGGAATACCCTCCCCAAAGCCCAGAATTGCCATCGCTAAGTGGGGTTTGACAGAGTGAGCTCTTAACAAATATTTGATGGATGAATGAATGGATAAGTGAATGAATGAACAAAGGAATGATTCATCTCAAATAAAATCTCTTTCCTAGGCTCCAAAATTGAACACATACATCCCCCACCAGAGCTCTCCAGCACGTTTCTTCTAGGACCACATGATGCCCATACTGTGCCCAACTGTCTTCACGCCAGGTGACACTTCAGCTCAGAGACTTACCTGGCTTTGGATTCCATGCACTGTTGTGCACAAAGGTCCACAGGTTATATTGTTGGCATTAACTGGGATCAAGCATCCTTGGGATGATTTTGTTTCTCCACCTCTAAAATGGGCTACTACGTGCTCTACCTGATCCCACTTATACTGACCCAACAGACATTACCTGGTTGCAGAACGCAGCCATACTGGGAAACTCTCCTACAAGTTGGTCAAGAACAAAACTCCCTTACCTGGGCCTGAAGCTGCCAGAGTCCTGGTTCAGAGCCAACTCTCTCATGGTTGTGGTGGGAGCTGGATGGGTTTGAGGGTGGGTGCACAGAAATGTTTGTCTCAGGGCCATTTGGGGCCTCCCTCAATACCTGGTGAGAACATAAGAGATTGAGCTGAGGACTGAGGATCTCAAGGGACACTCACCTTTTGGTCAAAAGAAACACCAGCCAGCAGCGTCCCTGCTTTGTGTGGCCCTTGCGCTATTTCTGTCTCCCCCTTTAAACTGGAACTCCCTGTGTCCATCCTCAGAAGGCATGTTCTCCAGAACTGAATGTAGCAGCCTTGGGAAGTTCTGCTCCTCTGCAGATGAATGAGGGAGGGGACAGTCAGGCTTATCAGAGAGGCTGGGTCTTCTAACTGGGGAGTCAGTGATGCCAGAACCTGAGTTTGGTCCCAGGAAACACCCACCTGCAACCTGGGCAGCTGGGGCTCTGGGCGTGGTGACACTGGCTTCGCTGGCTGGCCCCCAGAGAGCAGTCAGTCTCTGGAGGCTAAAAGGACCTGTGCACATAGAATGCCACACTGTAGGCCAGTCCCCGCCAGGCAGTGGCAGCAGCCATGGGGTCCTCAATGGCCTGGAGCAGAGCCAGGTTGCTGTAGTAGCGGTACAGGTCCTGGTGCTCCTGTGCTGAGAGGTTCAGTGGGGGAAGATGCCCTCCCTCACCCATGGGGCCACCTGGCCTGATGCCCTGCCCAGCCTCAGAGCCTCCACCCACAGCTGCCCATTGTTCTTGCAGAAACCTAGAGCTCAGAGGCGCCTCTGGGGTCTCCCTGCCTTCCCCATGGGATGAGGAGGACAAGTAGGGCCTCAGGAAACTTGAGTGTCTGGGCATGGAGTTGAAACCAGGCTTAGCTAAGATTTCCCTGCGGGTAACCCCCTCTCAGCCCTGCCCACGGCTCCTCCCTTTACTGATGGCCAGTCCAAGCCCATGGTGAAGTAGGGAGAGGAGTGCTCCTAGTCTGTGAGATGGTACTGGGTCTTAGCACCATCCTGATGGAAGAGTTCAATCTGCCTCTGATTTCTGGCCAACTAAAGGCCTGGGACCTAGTTTTCCCATTCTTTCACATCCCTTCTCCTCCAGGAAGCCTGCTTGGATGGACTCACAGTCTAAGTAGGCATGGATCTTCTGCTCCTTTCAGATTACTAAATTATCCCCAGTTTGGAATTTCTACAGGATCTGGAAACTTCCTGAAGCTGCGGCCCTGCCTCAACCTCTCTTGTCTACCCCCCATACCTATAGTCCAGTGTTGCTCAGGGCTTGGCTCTCAGGGTGCTGGCTCTAATGTTACTCAGTGTGCTGGCCACTGTCAGGACTGGCCCCAAACCTGCTGTGCACTCAGCTCTTGTAAATCCGAAAAGTCATTTCTCATCAATCCTTTTATATCTTCCTCACCTGACCCTATGTGACCAGCTTTACTGTTCCTATGTCACACTGAAGGAGGCAGGGGTTCACAGAGGGCCAGCATTTGTTTCAGGTCACACAGGCAGAACTTCAGAATTCCATCTAGAGCTCTGCCCCAGCCCCTCCCAGCTCTTCTGAGGCGACCTGGGATCCTTGGCAGGGGCTGGGGCAGGAGTTGCAGGGTCTTTCTCTCCCCACCCTTACTTTGTACCTTTGTGCAAAGTAAAGACAAACGTTCTTGGTGAGGGTGATGCTCAATGACATCAGTGACAGCAGATCAGGCAAGGAGAGGTCCCCATCATTCACCTACTTCTGAACTCCAGCCCCAGAACTGGCCTGCAGGGGGTTCTCAGCTGACAGCCACAGGGCTCATCTGCCCTCTTCATTAACCCCACACTCAAGACCTTGAACTCCAGGTCCAAGGTCTTCACCTTCACTTTCATCCTCTTAGTTCAGCAGAGATGCAGTGACCCAGGGTTCAGGCCCTCTGAAGGCCATAGCCATGTCAGGGACTGACCCCTGGGCTGAGCACTGCCACCTCCAGCCCACAGTCCCAGTCAGGAAAGCCTAAACGCTGGGTGCTCTGGGCCACACTCCCTCCTTTCTGTTTTGTTTGAGGAGAAATCAAGTAACAAGCTAGGAAGCTGGGCCTGTCCTGGGGAACAAAGACAGCCATTGACCCCTCCCTTTTAACATTTGTTCATTCAACAAATATTTATTGAGCATCTACTGTGTGTCAGGGACTATTTTAGGCATTTGGAATACTATAGTGAGTCAAAGATTCTTGCCATCCTAAAGCTTATCTTCTAGTGGAGATAAACATACAAAAATAAACATAGAAAATGAGTAAATAATGTCTGCTAGAGATAGTAAGTTCTCTGGAAAAATATAGAGCAGGCTCAGGGACAAGGAGAAGTGGTGTGGGGAACACTGAGGTATGGGGTAATCAGGCCTTCCCATTTCTGACATAGCCTGTCTTCACCAGCCTAGTCATTTCTAAGAGTTCTTGACTCACAGGAGAGAGCATGTGTCTCAAGGGAAGATGGACAGTGTCTGTTCCCTGGGAGCATGCCCTTAGCACCTGTTTCTGGAACCAGTTTACAGTCTTAATAAAAACTCACAGTATAGAGCATAGCTTCACTTTACAGAATGCCCAGCACTTCTCACCAAAGAGTTGTCAAGTTGGAACCAGTACTCCCTGGTCCTGGGAGATAGCCAATGGGAGAGGGGAGATTCTGAACACTCCTCAGTAAAAACTATCTCTACCATCACCATCTTACCATTACCACCACCACCACCACCACCACCATCATTGCCATCAATAGCATCACCAGCATCACCTCCATCATCATTATTCTCATCATTAACCAACACATCATCATGATCATTTATAATACTCTTCAGTGAGCACCTATTGAGTACCAGGCACTCTACATGGCTCTGTGAGGTAGATATAATTATCCCCATTTTGTAGATGAAGAATCTGTGGCTGAGAGAATCTCAGAAACAGAGCTAAGATCTGAACTTAGAGATTCTATCTACATTTCCCCCTGCTAGACTTGTCCTGGAATGGCTCAAAGATTAAATTTATTCTATTAGAGACTTCTGTACTTTAAAATTGTAGAAGGATGGCCCCAAAGTGCACAGCATAGATTTCATTCAAAAGATTTATTTGAAGTCACCTTAATGGGAATACATCATTTTCATAAAGTAAAAAATAAACAGTCTCAAGATGGTATTGGCCAGCCCAGCTAAGGGCCCCAGTATATGTGGTAGGCTTCCTCGGCAATGATTACAATTTAGTTTAAGGTATCCCAAGTAGAAGCCAAGGCAAAGAGGGTTTAGAAGATCAGAGTTCTAGTCACCTGACTTGCAGGTGAAGATCCCTTCCCTTCTTTGGATGTCAGTCGCCCCATCTGTACAATGGATGGGAGTCAAGTAGATGTCTCCCCACAGCTCTGGCAGTCTGAAACTCTGTAAGTCATATTGGGAAAAGCCGCAGTCTGGCCATTGGGGGAGAGGGTGGGTGGCAGAGGCTGCCTGGAAACCTTTACTTCAACAGCTGGGCCTGGCCCACCAGCCTGGAGTCAGGTGGGTTGCCTGTGGGTTGCCTCTGCTAGGTCTAAGGTCTTAGAGATTCAGTGATTCAGTAGGAGCAACTTTCTTCCCTTCCATGTTTGAAGTAACCCTCAGAGATGTGTGTGTTTTTTTTTTTTTTGATTTATTGATGAGAGAGAAAAGAGAGAGAAACATTGATTTGTTGCATTCATTGGTTGATTCTTGTATGTGTCCTGACTGGAGATCAAACCTGCAACCTTGGAGTATCTAGACAATGCTCTAACCAAGTGAGCCACCTGGCCAGGGCACTCAGAGATCTTGTAAGGTGGGAGTCAGCCCCTTCTGCCTTAGGTCCAACCCCTGCACAGTGCACCCGGCCCCGTGACCATGCAAGCAGGCCCCATGCACACACTGTTCTTACCTCAGCACTTCTCTCTTCTCCCTTCCTTGCTTCCTTCCCTCCCTCCAATCTTCTACAAAGGATCTGAGGTGACTGGGTTGGCCTTAGCTTGGTTTGAGGGTCCTACACTTCTGACCCCCACCCCTCCCATTATTGGCCCCTTTCCTGTACTTAGCTTCTGGGGCAGGCTCATTTTTTGTGTGCGTTTGTGTGTGTGTGTGTGTGTGTGTGTATGGTTACTTTTTAAAAAATTGTGGTAAGATACATATAACATAAAATTTACCATTTAACCATTTTTGAGTGTGCAATTCAGTAGTGTTAAGTATATTTACATTGCTGTGCAACCAAGTTCCAGAACTCTTCATCTTGTACACTAAAACCCTACACCCATTAAACAACAATCCCCCAGACCCTTCCCCAGTATTCTGTTGTCCATCTATGAGTGTGACTATTCTAGGCATCTCATATAAGTGGAATCCCACCGTTTGTCCCCTCATGACTGGCTTACTTCACTCAGCATCATGTCGTGGGGGTGGTGCTCGCCCTGGCCCAGCGGTCCCTTGCCTTTGTGAGTGCTTTGTCCTCTACCCAAACTGCAGGCCCGCCTGGCATTACCCTGCTCGACCTCCAGCCAGCCAATAGCTTACTTCTCTGGAACCTGGTTAGTGACTCCCTCCTCTGCACACTCTGCACCTTTTTCTCCTTTTTCAAATGATGACTTGCCCACACTTGACTGACCGTCCTTCAGGAGTCATGTCTATGTGCCCAGGACAGGGCAGGGCACAAAGTAGGTGCTTGGGGGACCATTAAAGCATTATACAATGAATGAATGAACAAAGGAACGAACGAGTGAAAGGATAAATGACTTAATGGATAAACTGGATCCAGCTTCTGCTTGTGAAGAATAAAAATGGTTCATCTGGATTCCATTTGTGAGAAATAAAGATAAATTTGGGCTTTTAACCCATATTTGGACTCAGAGATGCATCCTGGTGCCCAGGAGAGAGGGCAGCGGCATGTGGGGGGACGGTAAGCAGCAGGCCAGAGTCAGTAATTCCTAATACTCAGGCTTCTCCTGGCCTGGCCTCAGTCCACGTGGGAACCTCAATGAATTTTAGCAGGTCAGGGATGGATAGCACTTCCATTTTACAGATGGAAAAACTGAGCTCAGAATAGCAGAGCAAGACCAAAGATCCCTACTCCCTTCCTAAGGTTCCTTCCACTCCCAGCTGCCTCCCTGGTTCAGCCTTCTGTGTTTTCAAAAGGTTTAATCTTCAGGCAGAGGCCTGGCTCCCACAGAAGGAGTCAAGATGGGGTGGGCAGAGGAGACAACAGTGCTGATTTCCAAGCCACTTTCCTTCCGGAGCCCCAGCATGAAAGGCCTTAAGGGGACCTCCAGTCTTCTTTCTTCCCCAGAAGAATGGCTACTCAGAGGCTGCTGGCTTTGTCTGGAAGAGCCTGGACCTGTAATTAGCATGGAGGCCCCCTTTTTGTTTCTTACAATGGCTCCTTTTAGCCTCCACACCACTGTCAGCCCCTATGGCTCCTGTGGGCCCTCAGATCCTCATCCCAAGGACCCACCTTCAACTCCTCCCACTCCACCGCACTCCCAGGCTCTGCTCAGAGCTGAATCCTCAATTCTGTAAATTCACAGGACTCTCCCAAGGGGCAGGGGCTGGGATTATTATCCCTTCTACAGACCGGGAAGCAGGCACAGAGAAATCAGAGGTGAGTGAAGGGATGGGTCTGCACCTTAGGCCTCCAGATCCCAGGCAAGTGTGGTCATGTGATCATCACTACTCCACGCTGGGACTTCAGTACCCAACCCTCTCCAGCAGCCTCAAAGTCCACAGTCCCAGAGGCTCATGGAGGGAGAGAATCACACACTCAGACTGGCAAAGTGGAGCATGGCAGCCAGCCTCTCTCCACTGCACAGATGTGAAAACTGAGGCCCATAGCAGAAAAGGGCCTTGTTTGTGGTCATTCAGCTAGTAAGTGGTAAAGGCAAAATTAGAAGCCTAATCTCTTCCCTCCACCAACTGCGAGAAAGGGAAACACACACACACACATACAGAGGAAAGAGACACACAGAGATCAACAGAGAGAAAAGCAGAGAAAGAGAGTTAGAAGGAGAGACAGAAAGACAGGGGACAGGCTGACTGAATCAGAGAGAGGGTGGGAGAGAGAGACAATAATAGGGATGAAAGAGGGACTGATGGACTGGGACAGACAGGTAAACAGGAGGACAGACAGAGAGAAAGTAAGAGGCCAAATAGGAGATACTGACAGAGAAACCCAACAGTGGGCACCAGAGGACAGAAGTTCTGCTGTATTCTTATCAAACAGAATGCTGAGAGCTGTATCTCAGGCCTGCACTTAACCAACTCTGGAGGCCTTTGCACCCCTACGGACTGGGCTGCCAGCCACAGAAAGGAGCAGCTTCCAAGCTCTGTGAAGGGAGATTTCTAGAGAAAGTGCCCTGTGGGTGGGGCGGTGATGGTGGCAGGTATCTCAGGCAAAACGTCGCAGTTACTGTCTCTGGAATATCATGTGGCCTTTCTGGGCCTTGGTTTCCTCTGGGTGTGATAATGAGTATGGGAGAGCAGGGGTCTCTGAGGTCTCCTCTGGCCCTAAGATCTGGCCTTAACTCAGGCTCTGTCTTTGTAGCTAACCTACTGCTCTGTCTTATTTAACTCACAGCCTCTACCTCATTGCCCAAGATGGCTGCTTGAGATCCAGCCATCACAACTGCATTTCAGAGAACTGGCAGGAGGAAAAGGGTGAAGAAAACACTTATTTTTTAAAGAACAGCTCTGTTTGGAAGTTATTCTAAACACTTCTTTCTCCATCTCATTGGCCAACACTTAGTGTCAGGGCTGCATCCAGCTTTGAGAGAGGCTGTGGGTGGAAACCATCTCACATAACTCAGTGATGCCTTCACAACAGGCTTCAACACAGTCTGATGATGTTTCCTTTTACTTACTACATAGATGGATTTTAAATATACATTTCAAACAAGTGAAATCTTCCTTCATTTTCCCAAACTCATTCCTTCCCTGAGTGTTACCACTATGAACAATTTGCTGTGTGGCTGCCAGATTCATTTTTTATGTATTTAGCCCTCCACCACACATTCGTATACCTAGCTTACAGGAACATAAAATGGGACTGTGATTTACATATTGTTTAGCAAATATTCTTTGTTATTGTTACATGACATTATGTCTTAGAGGTTCTCCTTCTTTGTGACAGCTGAGTAGTACCTACTGTATTGATATAGCAAAGCTTACTGATGGATATTGGACTTGGTTACAAACAGTTTTGGGCATCTTCTCTGCATATATATATTCCTGGAGGATAGATTCCTAAAAGTGGGCCAAAGTTTAATTCTCTCTTTGTGTTGCGGGTTTAGCACTTTTTGTGTAAAACCCTCTCCCTGGGGAAGACAATTGGTCAGGTCAGAGCCAACAGATCCCTCTCAGCTTGGCTTGGGTTGTTCCTCTCCCCACCTTCACCCCCATTCCCCTGAGCAGGCACAGCCCTGGCACCATCCTCACTGCTGTGCCTACTATTCTGGTGTCTTCACCGTCATTGGAAGCCAATCTCATCCTAAACCTTGAGATCCTTTGGCTGCCCCACCCTTTCTCCTTCCAAGAGGAAGAAGATGCCTTCTCAGGTGTCTTTCTCCTGGGAATTTAGGACCCCGCATTTATCCCTTTCCATCCCTCCGGCCTGCCCCAGCACCACATTTTAGCACCTTATGAGCCATTTTCCCTTCCCCAGTCTTGTTTACACCCCTCTAGGAATGGAAGGGAGAGCGTGACGTGCTGAAGCTCATCCAGGCTCAGTGGTGGGGGTCAGAGAACTGTCCCTGCAGCCTTGGGGGAGTGT